TTATAGTAATTATTTTTAAATTCTTATTAAAGATAATTTGTGACTAATTAATAATATAATTTTTTAAATAATAAATAAAATTATAGAATAGGATAATTAAAAATATTGATTTTATAATAATTATTTTAAAAAAATAAAAATTATGTTAGAATAGTTCTATTAATTGATATGGTAAAGTTTTTGTCCAAGTAATAATAATACATTTTTTTATGACACCTTCTATCCCGCATGACATAATACATATTATAATGTAAATTGAATAACCTCGACGTAATAAATGAACTCAAAGTCTTATAGGTAGAGAGAATCACATTTTAACATAAACTAGACTTAGTGAAAATAACAAATTATAAAGGAAACAAAATAAAACTACTCAAATTAAATAACATAAATCAAATCCTAACTAGTCCTAACTAATAATTGGTGTTATGTGTCCTATTACAGCAAAATCCAACATTGAGGACTAAGCCTCATCGTCGACATGCTCAACACCATGCTGATGATTACCTACAAAAATCACAAGAAGACAACACAAAAGAAAAGAGAATGAGAAATATCTCACTTTGACTCACGGTTCAGGAATGCAAACCGACTAGCCAAATACAAACAACATATATAGTAATATATATGTTAAGTTAAAAGATGATCCCCTAAACGTAGAGTTTTAATGCTAACAAACAAAATATTTTTATATAGAAGAAATGTATGTGAAAACGTCTCTAAAACATATCCCTAAAAGGCTTATCAACTAAAGTGTAAGATACAAATTGTCTGTAAGACAATTATTAATCAAATGAAACATACAATTTGTCTCATATACATCAAATATTTATCATTTATTGAGACTAACAACAATGTTCACTTTGAATGCTTCATTCCTTAATAGATTGAATCAAAAGATCGTCTCGAAACTCACAAATCTGTTAAATAGAAGAACCATGCTTTTTGTTAGAATTAAATCCTTGAAATCACGAACAAAAGCAAATAAAGTCACTATTATAGTTGTTGCATTGACATTACTTTTACAAGTTCCATTTAGTATGAAAGTTGATAAGTAACCTCCTTAATTAGATAAGAGGTACTATTAGGTGAAATGCATTTAATGTTCGCATTAAATGTGCCAAACGGTTACTTGGCACCACAAGAGACGAAAATGAAGATAAATGAAGCAAACTTGTGAGCTAAACTCAAAGTATTGCAAAGATCATCTTCTCTGAGCTATTATGCAAGAAGTTTCAAAACACAAGAAAGATAGAGATGCATTATATATTTGTACATAAACATTCTCTAAAAAAATCCATTCTTTCTTGTAAATACTCATTATTTTGTAATTGGTTGTATATAACGTATAAGTGAGACGAACACAACATTTGTGTAACCTTCATAATCATTGTTATAAGGTTGAGTTTGGAGAGACTTGTCTATAAAAGAATACTTGTTTTGAGCCTAGAAAAACTTAACTATAAAAGGATATGTTTGTTGTTAAAAGAATACTTGGATAGTTGCTTGAAAAGGCAAGTCAAAGAATACTTAGGATTGAGGCAGAAATGGTTTATTAAAAGAATACATGTATCTTTGTTTAAAGATAATGGAACTCAATTTGGTTGGATTAAGAACTGGATGTAGTCTTGATGATTGAGGCAAACTAGTATAAAAATACTTAGTGTTTCATTTAACTACTATTCTTGCTTCATGTAACTAACATTAGTACCTCATTACAGAAAACATGCAAATTTTTTATATACATTATTCAATCCCCCATTCTAGTGTTTATCTTTTCTCCACAATTTGGTATCAAAGCTTAGTATTTGATGGGGTCGAGCATTTAACCATGCTAAAGGACAAATATCCATTGTGGGAAGTAGTGAAGGACAATACCTACCAGAATGAGTCTCTCTTACAAAGCCCTTTACCTTTAATGGAGAAGACTACTCGTATTGGAATGATCGAATGAAAATGTTCATCAAATTCACCTAATACCACCTTTGGAGAATCATCACTCAAGATGATGTTGCTATTACCAAGCTTGAAAATGAATATACTTAGGATGGCCATAACATATTACAACTCAATACTAAAGCAAGATACATCGTTGCTTGTTCCTTATCCATAATAGAGTATAACAAGTTTTATAGTTGCTCAACTGCTAAAGAAATATGGGATTTCATCAAGGTAATTCATGAAGGTACTAAAGATGTAAGGCTCAAACGCCCTGCCACATTTTAGAGACACTATGAGTTGTTCTCCATGAAAGAGAGCGAATCCATAGATGAAATATTTGGAAGACTCCAAAAAATTCTAAATGGTTCAAAATCCCTGGAAATTGAGTTTTCCAAAGCTTAAAATTATCTTAAGATCTTGGATAGTCTACCTAAAGTCTAGGAACCCAAAGCCATAACCATCTCAGAAGTGTGTGATCTTAAAGTTCTCACTCTTGATGAACTACTTGGAACTCTACGAGTTCATGATGTTCATCTGAACAACAGAGATCATCCTAAAGCAAATGGCACTATTGGTTTAAAAGGAGGTGAGACTAGTAAGAAAAAAAGAAAAGGGGAAAGCGTTGAAGGTAGTATCTGAGCCTAGTAGCTCAAATGATAGCTTCAAGGACTTCATAGATGATGAGATATCTCGTATGTCTAAGAAGTTCAAGGACATGTTGAAGAAGAAATGAAGATTAAGAAATTTCCATTGAAAGAATGAAAGGTTTAGAAAGCTCAATTAGTCTAACAACAAAGAAGTTATTTGCTATGAGTGCAAAAAGCTTGGTCGCATGAAGGTTGATCTCCATTCACAAAGGAAGAGGTGGCCTTATAAGAAGAAGGCCAAAAATAATCTAATGGCCACTTGGGAGGATCTAGATAACAATGGAAGCAACAAGTTAGAAGATGAGAAGGCCAACATATGCCTTATGGAAAATGCTTAGTCAGATGCTATAGATGTAGAGGTAAATTTGAAGTTAGTGGAAATACACATAGAAGGGGGGTTGGATATATGTGTGTGTGAACAAAGGAATTTTAAAACCTTTTTCGAAAGGGACTCTTTTTCGTCCAATTAAAATATTGTTTTCAATGCTTAGGAGTAACTGTGCAGAATTGGTTCAACAAGAGGTTTTTGCGTCTGAAAGTTTATCGTCTGCACAGGAAAAATAATTCTTAAACGAAAATCGTTCTTTAAGATAATGAATTAAATAAGTGTGGTTTTCTTCTGAAGATAGTTGTAATGGATGATAAGCATTGTGATGGAATCATGCCTAGGAAGGCAAGAGGTGACATATAAGCAAGGTTTTGGAAAAATTAGAATATTCCCATAAGATTCTGTATGTATTGAGGATTAGAAATACATATTAATTTGTAAGAATGATGATCTGTGAGAGAGAACGAAATTATAGAAAAGTGCCTGTAAGCTAGGTTTTGGAAAAATTAGAATATTCCCATTAGATACTGTATGTATTGAGGATTAGAATTACTTATTTAATTTGTAAGAATGATGAACTGGGAGAGAGAACGAAATTATAGAAAAGTGCCCGTATGCTAGGTTTTGGAAAAATTAGAATATTTCTGTTTGAGAAATTGATGATCCCATTAGATTCTGTATGTATTGAGGATTAGAAATACATATTTAATTTGTAAGAATGATGATCTGAGAGAGAGAACGAAATTATAGAAAAGTGCCTGTAAGCTAGGTTTTGGAAAAAACCTTTCCCCTTTGTTTCATGAAGGTTGTCTTACATGGTGCTATCCTCGTTTCACCTTTGGCCGGAATGTGGATATTATTGACCAAGGAAGAACATGTGAGTAAACTTATATCTCTAAATTTAATGGTTCCATTTTGAAGTTGCTTACGTTGTCTTCAACAAACCTATATAGTTAATTATCTCCCTCATAATTATTTTCCTAAAAAATGATGGAAATATATATAATTGCAGCTCCTACAATTGCACGTTTGATTTTTTTTTGCCCTCGGATGTTTTGGGTTGGAAAGCTTATATACATTACGGATTCAGAAGCAAACTAAGAGCCATCTATAACTTACCAGAAGAACCATGTTCGGATTGTTGCGTTCACTATTGTTGTTTACTTTGTGCTATTTGTCAAGAGTACAGAGAACTTAAAAACTGTGGACTGGACCCCTCACAAGGTATAAATATAATTACTATATATGCACACATAAATATACAACTATTTGTATAATATTATATTCACAAATTCTAATTAATTACATGTATATCTATTAATGTTATTATTTATTTTTTATTTTATCCATTCTTTAATTGATTATATGTTATTTAATATATTATTATCTTAATTTTTTTATAGGTCACATCTAATTGGAAAATACCTTTGGCTGTTGCAACATTCATTTTGGCATATACATATCAATTTTGATATATACTAACTTTGTTCTTGTAAATCAAATATGGTCTATTGTTTTTCATTTACGGGGAATACATTTTTATATCACAATGCCTAGAAAAAACAATCATAGACTTGTAGATAGACATTATGATGAAGTAGAGCCTTATATAGAGCAATTAATGAACACCCCAAATTGTTGTGAACCCAAGTCAAATGAATTGAAAAATTCAGGTGGCCTAATAGGATTATCGTACATGACAAGGTATAAGACTAGAGATGCCTTGATAAAAGCAGACCAACTCGAATACCAAGGGACCAATGGACTGGTCTTGTCTCTTATTGGCTTTTTGATAAAGGAAAGGTAAGAACTTTAGAAAAGACCAACACATAGTTTATATTTTATGCAATACTTACATTATTTCTCTTTATTTTTTATAAATATATTATATGATGTTATTGTGTGTTTTAATAACAGAAGCGCAACCAAGCAAATAGAAATAATAGGACAAAGCAAAAGATGCCTCACACTAGAGGATCCAAAAGTATTGGAACCTTAATGGTTGAAAAGGTATTTGCGGATAAATTACAAGTTATAATATTGTTACATTATAAATAACATTTGTCTTGAGAATTTATTTGACATCAACTTAATCCTATTAGGCCATAGATGGGATAGAGCCTACAAGGGCAGAAATCTTTATATTAACTCATCAAAGACGTAAAGATGGAAGACCATTGGATGACGTGTCTGCAAAAATAGTGGTTAGATTTTTTAAGCAATTTTTATACTTGTTATATATTATATATGACATTCGAATTATTTTAAATATTTTTATATTGATTGTGAGTATGCAATAACTTCAAACTTTCTTACATAGGATGTGATGCAAGAAAAATTGAACAATGGTGAAACATCTAATGAAAAACCTATTGGTAGTGTTGCTTAGGAAGGAGATGTGTATTCCCAAGTATTGGGGGCTGAAAGAAGTGGCTATGTTCGTGGCTTAGGACTTGGTCCAACACCTTCTTTGTTGTGGGGTTCTAAATCTTCCATAGGAAGTACTTTTGCTAATAATATATCTAATGAGGTAGTACAAAGATTAGAGCAAGAGGTGAAGATGTTAAAGGAGTTAAAGGAAAAACATGATGAAGAAATGAATTTGATGAAACAAAATCAAGATAAGTTACTTTCAGAACTATCTTTTGTTAGAAAATTCATGTACAAACATTTTCCAATGGAGCTATCTATGCCTCAAAAGTAATGGAAGCTCATTTGGACAACTATGATTCAAATGCTTTTAAACTTTTTTTTTTCTTTTCAAATTTTGATTGTAAAAGACAATGTTATTTTCTTATGTTTTAATTAGGTCTTTGGTACTAATATTGGCCAGGAAAAAGCACCAGAAATGCCACACATGTCCTTTGGTGCTCATGGTAATTTGTTGATGCCTTTTGTTTTTGTTCCTATAAATACTTTTTGTAAGGCGTACATTTTAACACTTCTTTTTCTTTTTGGATTTGTAGAATCACAATTACCTACAAAATCTACTGCAACTATGAAAACAGGTTTGACCCATGTCTTCTTGTTTTACACATTCTATTTTTTCTTAAATAAGTTTAAGTTACTTTTGTAAAAGCATGAGTAACATGAACAATAAACTCATGGATATAGGCTCTTAATTACACTTAAGGAAATAGGATGGCAACTTGTATAATTAAATGACTTTTAATAGTGGGTTTACAAATCTAAATTATCTACTTGTTGATTTCTTGTAATGTCTCAACACTCAACCTTTTTGTTTGGATTTGCATAATCACAATCAACTAAAATTCCAACTATTATAGTGAAAACAGTTTTAAAAAAATCTTGTTGCTTCTCTTTGGAGTAGTTTTCAGTATATTAAATCAACTAAATAAAAGTGCGTCTAAAACATTGAAAAATAGTGCAAGTATTTTTATACTGGTTCACTCAAACTAGCTATGTCCAGTCTCCTTCAAATGAAGGGTTCCACTAGACATTCAATGAAGTACAAGTATTATTTGTTCAACCTCTTCAGGCTCACAGTGAGTATTATAGACCACCCAGGTCACGACTACTCCTGGTCGGCCAACTTCACTCATTTGCTCTAGTATTCTTTAATCAGCCTCTTCAGGCTAGTAGTGAGTATTCTATTCCACCCAGGTCACGACCACTCTTGGTCCCAAGTATTCTCAACCACTCCTGGTTCGTTAACTTCACTCGTCGACGCTAGTATTCTTTAAACATCCTCTTTAGGCTAGTAGTGAGTATTATTGACCATCTCCTGGCCCGCTAACTTCACCAATAGCGCTAATATTCTTTAATCAACCACTTCTGGCTTCCAATGAGTATTCTTTAACAAGCCTCTCCAGGCTTTAACAAGTATTATTTCCCTAGCCTCTTCAGACTTTACCAATGATGAATATATGATTTGGTTTGAGTGTTTGGTTTACTCTCATAGAGAGGATACATATGTTTGTACACTCACTGAGGTATGCAACCTTAGTTTTACAAGGATTGAGTGTGTGGTTTACTCTCATAGAGAGGATACATATATTTCTACACTCACTGAGGTTCATGTTCCTAAGTTACACTTGGAACTCCTTAGTCTACAGAGATAGATACACTATGGTACATTTGACTCTATAAGCTTTGTCTCTGTTTCTTTGCTTCATGGGCTGGATATCACTTTTTTTTGTCAATGCCGAAAGCCAACCTCTTAAGGTTTGAAGTGATGATTTATATATAGTCTTGTAAAATTTTCCCGTTACAAATGTCCGTTGAAGCAGAATATAGTCGTTCATGACTAATTCGATCTTCTCATTTAATGCTTAAGATCTTGCATTAAATGTTGCTTCCTATATGTAGACATTGCGTGAAGTCTTCTACGTTTGTTAGCAGCTGTGTCTGAATTTAGCTGATACCTAGGAACCTTATTGTCCTTTTCCGATCGCGTAGCTGTAGAAATGTTGTCCTTATTTGAAAAAGTAATGTACTTTTTCTAACACATGCATGCTTTTGCTTTTGCGTGCTTTTCTTCTTCTTCTTTTCATCTTTTACTCGCGTAATCATGTTGAGAGCATTTAAATGATCGTAGACGATGCCTGAGTTGTCCTTAGAGACATGATTCTTTGAATGCTTTCATGGCAGTCTTCGTCTGCATCTGCTCGTCCATTTGTGTCTCAAGATCTGATCTTCGTCTGAGCATTTGACATTAATGCTTTGACTCTATTTTGGTCTGGTCAACATTATAGATGGACAAACTTTGTTTTCGTTTGGAATATCTTTTAGTCTGTGCTATCCTTTGTCTGATGCATAGTTAACTTTCTTATGATCTATGACCAACGCTTCGTCTGATTTCTTATGTTGTGCTTGAGGTTGTCTTTGATGCACTTTTGTCGGATATTTTACTTGTTATCGTTTAGAGCTTATGTCATTTTTCATCTGATGTTTGACCCACTTTTGTCTTGTTCTAGATTTAGTCTTGTTCGATATTTGTTTTGGCCTTCCATTTGACGCTTCAAGACTTCGATTGGTAGTACGCTTCGTCTTGTATTTGCTATCTTTTCGTCTGGCTTTTGATCAGACCTAGTCTTGTTGCTTGACTAACCATCATCTAGTGTTCTTGTTTAGTTTGTCCAGACTTCATGGATCTTGCATTTAATGCATTTGTTCTTCAATTAAATGTTTGCTTGCTGAATCTGTGTTACGTGATGTCTTTTGTGACTTTTAGATATACGGTAGTCCTTTTTTCTTCTCTCTCCTTATGTTTTAGATGACTTCATGTGTTCTTCTAAGAGTGTGGATGATAAGCAATATTCCTCGTTGTGACTTAGTGGACTTCAAACATTTTTCAATATTCTTTGTCTTAGTTCTAGTGTGGGAATTTGCACATGCTCTGTTCTTCACGTTGTGTGTACTTATATTTTTCTGAAACACTAACACACTTGTTAGAAATAACAACATGTAATATATTTGTCTCATTCAAAACCTTGTTGGGAATTTCTTTGTCTGACTCAACAATCTTCCACTTTTTGATGATGACAAATATAATTGATCAAATTGTTTCAGATAAAACTCATACAGAGGAATTCATAGTTTATATGTGTTACAACTCTCCCCCTTAGTACATGCTCTCCCCCTTACTAGATTGTCTTTTAGTCATTTTGATTTAGATAACATATTTGATTAATTCTTTTCTATTTCTCCCCCTTTGTAATCATCAAAAAGAAGTAGATGAATTTCTAAGAGAAATCTAATACCAAGATAGAAATTATGACAAGCGAGATATTAGGCAGGACCATACATAGAAAAATCATAACATTGATCAGAGCATAAATATTAACAAATGATCAGAGCATTTTAGAATACTGACTTTGAGTATAACATGTATGTTGTATTGAATTGTATGAAGAATCTATCTAATACAGAATTCGTGTAATTATTCTCTCCTTTTGTAATCATCAAAACAAAATGGATGAGTTTCTAGGAGTTGTCTGATACCGAAAAAATTAACATAGCAAGCGAGAAAGGAAATAAAGAAAAAAATAGCATATTCCATACATCAAGCAACAATCCTGGATAAGAGAGTGTATATTGTATTGACTTGAATTAGAAATATGTACAACATGAGGAATTAACACAGTAAAAAAAAAAAAAACTTTTCCTCTAACACGGTTATCCTTATTATTCTATCTTCCCTAAGGTGATCATTAAGACGGAGGTAGATCCTAGGAAAGTTGCGACGCCATCAAGTTGAATAAACGATCCAACTTGTTGTCCAAGTCTTCTCTGAACTTGTTGGATGTCTCAATAGAGACATATTGCTGTGCAGGTTCAGACGTAGAAGGAAGAGCTTTAGGAGGAGCAAACATTTCTTTGGTAGAGGAAATGAAGGCTGTTGTGGACAAATGGTTAAGTTGGTCGAATTGGCTTTTAACTTGGCCTCACGCTTCAACCTAATCAGTTCCTTCTCCTGCTCGTCGTATTCCTTGGTGTGTTGTTTGGCTCCCTTCTTCTTTACGACTTCTTCTCCAACGTTTATTCCTCTTTTGCTTCTTCAGCACCGACTCCAGAACAATTGTTTTCACTTTTTCACCCATCTCGAGCTGTGGCCTCCTTTGTAACTGTGGATTGGGATTTTCTTTTATGGCCTTGACCGGTACACCGAGCATATTTCCCTCGAAAGATCCTCGAGAAGCCTTCAAGGAGCCATAGAGCACCTTCATTACGCCATGGTAAATGACTTTCTCAAGATTGAAATATTTGAGGATCACACAGTCAGCCAAATCCTTGTAGATGGTTATTCCCCATTCCTTCATCTGGCTAATATTAAAGTGATACCCTAGGTACATCACTGGCTTTATCTCCGCGAGGAAGGTATGAACACAGTCAATTGCTTTGCGCACTTCAACAGGGATAGTCACGGGTGCAGCGTTTTCAACTTGAGCGGCCTTTGTAGTGGATGAGGAACATTTTGGAAGAGATTAGGGTGTTGGGATTCAGAAGGAAAGTTTAAGGTAATGAGAATTCAAAGCATGTGGAATAGGGAGTATAAAGAGTGAGACTACGAGGAAGGATATAGGGCTCCTTGGAACAGAAAAATATTTTCTATATTTAATGTTATTATTATTTTGCATGACGTAGCGTCCTCTTGTCTTCCTCGTGCAATGTAACGAGCGACATGCATTAAATTTGAAGTAAAGGATATGTCTTTTCAAAACAAATCCCAAATGACAGTTTTGTTATTGATTGGCTTAACAGTCTTATCCTTTGAATGTGGGCATTGGGTAAAGGATCTGTCTTTTCCAAAGAAAAACCTAAGCGACAATGTAGTTATCCATTAACAAAAACGTTTTAATCTTTCAAATATGGAGAATGTTTGTCTTCGACTTCACTGCGTTTAATGATGAAGGTCATTTAATACAAAGGTGCTAGACTGAATTTTCAAACGTATGAGCTAAATATTCAAATGCGAGGGAGATTTCCTAGTCGCTTCATTAGACGAAGATTTTCAGACGCAGCAATTTCTTACTGCACTCTGAGGAGTACTCAAACGTAATGATTTACTACGTTGGTTGTCCTATTGTGTTTCAGACGAAATTGGATGGTAAGTATATATATATATATATATATATATATATATATGACTGAAATGTGGAGTAACTTTATAGAGTTACTCTAGGAGTTAATTAACGATCCAACGATTGAATTTAAAATTCTTAATGCATAGATCAAATATGCAAGTTTTTTAAAAATTTGAAAATCATTTGATACTTCGTTTTATTAATTCAAATTGATGGATAATCGTAAAATCATTTTATATGTTGATTTGAATTAATGAAACAAAGTATCAAATGATTTTCAAATTTTTAAAAAATTATAGATTTGATCTATGCATTAAGAACTTTAAATTCAACTATTGGATATATATATATATATATATATATATATATATAGATAGATATAACATATAGAAGTTTGATTCT